TTGATTCCAATTTATATAACACATTTTTCATATAGCTTAGATTCGGCCTATTTACACCTAGTTGTCTATAATTAATCGATATCGTGTCGGAATTGAATTATTGGCATGGGATATAAATATAACTTGATGGGTAAGAGGTGTTTCACGTTAGAGTACAAAACTATATACCAGATCAAAGGCAGACATTCACCAGTACGGCCTATAGTGTATACACTAACGATACACAGTAATTGTTAATGGCAGTGTCGTGTAGCCTACAGCCAGAACACAAGTTCTGTTTGCCATTATGACAAATTATAAAATACAGGAATGCATTGATTGGTATGATAGTTACAGAACACAAAACATATTACAGGTTAACTGCCGACATCGTGTTTAAAATGATTGTGCTAACGCAGACGACATAAAACACAAAAGTTATTACAGGTTAACCGCCACCATTGTGTTTAAAATGATTGTGCTAACACAGACAAAAACAAGTTATTACAGGTAAACAGCCGGTATCACTGTCTGTCTTAGCACCAAACTTTGATATTCACTGTCACCTGCTAATGAATGTCATATCTATTTTGTTACACCAAAAGTAATGACATCTTGTTTGTTGATAGTTTGCTGTTTACAATCGCTATCGCACCGGCGCTTGATAAAATTGGCAGTAACAAACAGAATTAAGTAAGGATACCAGGGTAAAGCTTTAATGCTAGGACAGTAATGGTGCTAAAACAGACAACGTCAACTAACGAAGTATAAGCTGTTGATATCACGGGTAGAAATTACTGCTTAGACAGACAACAAAAGGTTACAATGTATGCAAGTAAAACTGGAAACATAAGGGTCAAATCTGGAACTAAGGATAATTGTAAAACGGCTATTCATGGTAAACTGAGGGTACCAAGGGTAAACGTTTACAGGTATGTAAAGATAATGATGAAGAAAGGTAAGAGGGAAAATAAAATCAGGTCAAACTCTTTTTTGTCAATTTGAAGTGAGCATGTTTGACCTGCTTCCACCGTTGCAATACCTTGGATCCTTTTTCTATTTTCCCCATTACCTGCTATTTCTTTTCTGGTGGTGTCTCCTTATTTACCCGTCTTCATATGACCTTCACTATTACGAAGACGTCATAATGTTACATTAATGACGTCATAATAGAAATGACGTCACAGCAAATAAACAATATAAATTGCCTCCCTTACCACCTTTACTAAAAATTCAAAATGTGGAAACATCATTTTTACAATTGGCTAACCTGCCACTTCTGACAAGATGCTAAGAAATAGAGAAATCCTAAAATAAGGAGTAGATAGGTGGAAAGAAAGAGGGCCCGAGTAATGCAATCAGTTCAGCAACTGACTTTTGATTTCTACAGTGTCTGATACGTAAATCATAGAAAAAGTGTCACTTGCCGAAGGGGAGGGGAGAGGGACACGTTAGTCGCATTGCAATGCAATAGGATGCAGATAATTGGTACGTTCATCAAACCTGAAAATGTGTATAACAGTTTATTGCTTAATGTATTTAATGAATTACTTGGATGGGTTTAGCTCGGCTGTGTTCAGTCGATACAGTATAGGTAATCTGTTCTAAACATTGTGTTCGCAGACTCAATATTCCGTCTTTGCGTATTGCAGAGTTATCTTCTCTTGGGAGCAGGTATTGATTGTTACGTCACATGATTGAGAGGGTAACGTCATCAATTTTTGAGAAAACGACGTAATTTTCTCGCACAAACCAATGACGTAACAATCAATACCTGCTCCCGAGAGAAGATAACTCTGCAATACGCAAAGACGGAATAACATGATGCAATATGATTTTACATTCTGAATGTGTAACAATGCTTTATGATCATAGATCATTAAATGTGCTTATCTGTACACAAAAAAGCTCTTTAATGCTGAATTTATAATAACTTTTTCCTTTTACAAATTATTCAATATTCTTGATAAAACGCTTATATATGTACATGTAAGGATTATCATTTTTTTGTTTTGATGGAGGCAATATTGCATGCTAAACTGTAACAACAAGTTATTGCATCAGAGCAATTCAAAACATCCATCATATTAAACTGTATAAAACGTTGATGTAAAAATACATTATCGTCACAATTAAAGTACAAGAATGGAAAATGAACGACAACACTGATCACATATAGTGTAACCTCTCAATAACTTTATACCTCGATTCAGTATCGTGAACAGTTTGTCAGGTGTCACAGTGTCTGATAACTCTCAGCGTGATATCCGGTAAAGGTTAGTCGCCTTTATCCACGTGGTTCCCTCAAGTACTTTTCACGTTTATCTATCTATTGTAGACAGACATGTATAGTTTATACTATCGGATGATTGATAGAAAATTATTTAGTGAGTTTGACGGCTTATCAAATCCGTCAGAATGCATGGTTGTGTAAAGTTGAGCCGTCAGGTGATTTGATTAAGAAAGTTCGTTTTAGAAAACATATTCTTATTTTTTATACATCTTTTTCATATATCATTCTTAGCGTTACGGACGCTCCTTTAAGTGCTCCCGTAACTTGGAAAGTTCAGAAATCGCGGGTTGAGCTACATGTAAGATCGAGCTATAATGTGATATCGCAACAAAATTTCCGTTGACTAGGCAGCTCAGGTGTGTAGAGCGACGCTATAAAGCTCTGAGGTCCTGGGTTCAAATTCTGGTCAGGTCCTATCGTTTCTCTACATTCAGATCACTTGTTTATTTCTTTCTTGTTTATTGTATCTTCATTAATTTGTCAAGATCATTTTGGGTGTGTACTCTCAAATGTTACTTTTATAGGAAGGTATATGTATATAGCAGTGTCTGATAAACGTTGGTCTGTAAACCTGACAAACATCAGTTCGCCTGAAGAAGCCAATGAAGGCAGAATGGCCTAATGGTCAGTGTTATGCGTTTGTTGAGAAATGATCATTTTGATATGTGGCAATACACGGGAGGTAACCTGCCTTTTAAATGTGTTTTCCCACTGGAATATGGTATAAGACGCACATATTGAGAAGCGCATTTCATTTAGGAATTTGATATTTCACGATACAATATGATGTGCTCCAGAATAATGCCTGTGTGTTAACGCTACGGTATATTGTTCTCTCTTCTCTTCTTTTTTATGTTGATTCCCCACATGTGAAATATATCGTTTATGCACAAAACTATAGAAAACAGTGCATGCATAATAAACACAGTGCTACTCGATATGGGTTCGTACCAACTAGCACCATCACCCATACTGAGTAGTGTTAGCGGGCCTCAGTCTATCAGGGGGCCCGCCCCTACTTTAAACATCAATTATATATACGCAGTGTTTATTGTTATTCAAAGCATATGCGTGTATGATTTATTGAGTTGTTTTTTAATGTAGACTTCAAATCAGAAATGAGAGTCCACTTTTAAATATTTAAACGCGTTCTAAACATTGTGAACTGCTTAGAACAACGTATGCTTTCAATCTTTTGTAATAACAAAGGTTAAGTAAAAGCTGGCTTGAATATGACGTACTAGCCTTATTGAAGATGTAATTGATGAACCACACTGTAAATTTGTATAAAGCTATCAAAATATACACAAAATGTAGTACCTATTTCCATTATACCATTATATCATTGTAAGTCGTAATGTACCCGAGTTGGAGATCCTCCAACCCATTATATTTCAATATACCCTTGTATAGTAATGCAATAAGTTTGAAACTGTAAACTTATATTTATAAATCACGAAATTGGACATTTCATATGCAAATTACTCCGGTCTTTTACATTTTATAAATTGATTGCAAATAAATTAAGAAGTAAGCCGATATGTTTTAAAGATAGAAGTGAAATATATGCACGAATACAATTGTTTGCTAGCGAACAAAGACACCGATAGTTTTACGCCTACATAATGACTAGAACATACAGATATAACACTATTAGTTTTCAGATATATGTATATATATATATATCTAGTTTAAATCTCACCTCTTCGATCCTTATTCAACAGGAATCTGTGTTTAGGAAATGTAGAGTTGACACGTGTAGAATGCAAACGTTCTGTTGTCTTGATTTAAAATGGAAATGTTGGTATATCGGAAGAAAGTTTAAGGAATACGATTTCAGGAATCGTTTACGTATTGTAGTATACTTAAAATACTGGACGAGTATTTAATAAGCATCTTTATACGTGATGTCTGACATCTAATGGAAACGTCAAATGTATGCTCCGATGATTTACAAAAAACTTCTACACGGTGAAATTCAACTTCGTTTCTGACATGGAATTTGTGGTCTATGTTCGGTAATTAATTTGTATTTCGTAATAGGATGCTTTTATGTTGTTTATGATGACACAATATACGAACCAATCATTTCATCTGAAGGGGATAACGACGTGTCGTCAAATCAAACAGTGTCTAATATTCGGGCCGGGTGGCGGTTTGACGGATCCGTAATGTGTGGATTATTTGACGGTGTCATATAAACAATGTTGAACAAGGAACGCTTCATTGCGTCTGACGTAAACACATATCAAATGTAGAAATGATCAATACGTCATATTATCAAAAATATAATACCAGGGTTTACGGGGCTCGGCGATGTCGGAACTTGATACATGTAAAACAGTGCATTTAATAAACAATTTTTTGGTGTTTGGTTATCGGATATATCCGATAAACGCGTCATAGGAACTCATAACAGCATGCTTAATACCAAAACATAAACAGGAAATCAGAACAGCGGTTGAGTACAATAGCGGACAATGGATATAAAACATGTTTATATTCTTCATAAATAGTTAATTGCAGTTGTAATTATGATTGAACCAATGGAATGTCATTTTGTATACTAAAACAATCAAGAAATTTACTAGACATCAAAATATTTACTTAGCATAATTGATAAACGTGAGGCAGATGTCACGTACGTTGTGTATGTATGATACTACACTTATATACAATGTCGAGAGTTTGTCAACAACACGTCAATTAATTAATATATAAACAGTGCTTTTATCAGCGAGATGACAGTTTGGATAATCGTGACAAACGATGTTTGCTAAGTAACGTTATAACGTTGGTGAAAAGAAACACATCATGATACTTATTCCGTTTAAAGGGATTATAACATGTCAGTTCATCATAAACATAAAGTGTTAACAGACAACTCAGAAGTGGGAGTATTTGTTCTATCGGCTACCCACTGACAGGTAGCTATGTTACCCTGTCAATGATAAGCTCAGGAAACTTTCAAAACCATTAAAGTAGATCTGCTGATGTAAAGATAGCTGATCTTGTTAGATTATCACGCTTTGGTGTAAAATTACACTTAAGCGTTTGTGTCGTATCGGGTGTCAGTCAAACCGAAAGGAAGTAATGTGCAAGGGTTTCGCTTAACGGTACACTATTACATAACACAGACCAACTCATAGGTGCACAAGACAACCCTAGCAAAGATTGGAGAGTTCGTCAGTGAACCTGGCTACCAGGAACACTTAGAGCACGCGAGAATACTGAACTTTGTGCGCGCTATACATTTATATCGGATTGTGTACCATCACTTAACCGTCAATTAACCTACTGTTTAAGGAGATGTTAGCTTGTTGTTTACTGTATCCTGTGTAAATTAATATACACTTGAATGACTTGAACGGATAAATATTGACAAAACGAACAGGGTTTAAGGATCGCTAACTTCAGTGAATCACAAAGAGCGGTCTGTAATGCTATACAAACCGGCAAATGAATACATCACAATTTAAAACACACATTGAGTAATTGTCTTCTCTTACGCAACAACTCAATTCCAGTTGGATGGTTCGACATCAAAAACAACTTTAGAAAGGGGAAAAGTGCATCATTATGGACTTATTGATCAGACGATCAACAGAGAATATATTGAATTGTGTGTTATAGAAAAGAGTTGTGTCAACATATATGATCCGAACTTAACGCATTTGACAGTGACGTTATAACACGTGGAATATAGTTAGGAGTCTTTATTGACTTGAGGGTAAGGCTTTATTGATTATTGATACGTATAACACCTCATTCAGAACAAATTAATTATGAGTTCATAAACAAGAGAAAGAAATGCAACAGCTGTCAAGGAAATTTGCGGCGGTTCGACCAAGTCAGAAACTGAAAACAACAATGACTACTATGGAATGTTACTTATAGACATGAATTGTAACGACTGCTACCAAATGATGTTTTATAACTGGGGATTTTAATTCTTCATTATCGTGAACTGTACAACCAGATTTGTCCATGATAGGTTATTGATGACAGAGGACATAACAGCGCCGGAGTCAAACGATCATTGTGTCATCCCAGAAGTGTTCAGGCGGTGGGTGGTTGTGACATTGTTGGGATTTTTAGAAATCTATTGTGTGAATGATCTACAACGATTCGGAAGGGAAAATTCCTGTTATGTGTATTCGACCTGTAGAATAACGCGATGTTAGTAAGGTCAATGATTTAATTTCCTCTTAGATGTGACAAGAGATACCTCTTAATTAACCCGGATTAAAGTCATTGTGTTGGACGGGCATTATAAATACAGTAGCACATCCTATACAGTTATACAGCAGGCCAGGGAACGAGGAAAGAAGGAGACACCGCATTTTCCACTTATCAACTGGTTTTGCCTTATCTGCCTAACGAACTAACTCAAGTATCATGACCATGTTTCATGGATATGGCAGTCGCAAGCCCGTGAACCTGAGTATTCTGGAGATGGTCGGGATCATCAATGAACGTTACCCTGGTGATGTAAGTATTCAAATCGCTTATGTGTTTATTAATGTTGTAGGTTGCACGTGGATGGATGTGACGTCATAAAATGGCGGTTTCAGTCAGTCTGAACTTAAGGGACATTCGAAAAACACAGAGTAGACTAAAGTGTTTAATTCAAGTTCAGGAAGTTAAAGATGTACAACAATTTCCGGTCAGTAAATTTGACAATCACGGTTTTTTTTTTGTTTTGTTTCCTAAATTGCACAAAAATATTATCCAATTAGTTGCAGGCTTGCTACACTATTGTTGTATGAATTCTCTTAACTTTCGTCTGCTATTTCTGCCATGCACATGTAATACCGCACATTTCGTTCCTTTTATAAAGCACATTTTCTTTCACCTATAATAGATTAGCACGCAAACCATCAGTTATATTGTTTATGTATACTAATCCTTTTCGTTAAAAAAAACAAAAATTCCTTATCCAGTGACTATTGACAGTTTAAAAAAAAAATTAATCGAAAAGAAAAATAAGAAAGAATATTTTCTTTAAATAGTCTATATCAAAGAAAAAGGTGACGAATCAAATCAAACATGACCGTTTTAAGAAATTAAATAGTTTTATTGTAAGGTATGTAGAAAATCAATTTAGTTTTTAAATACCAATATCATTACGTCTACATGTGAACCTAATGTCACAACATTGCCATAAAAGCATTTCTGTGTTGAACGCTGGAGGAATTAATACAGGTAGCTAATAAAACGAAAAATGAAGGAAAGGTAATTGGCCGTCAACACGCAATTAATGAGCAAATTACATTCTATATGCCATGTTAAATCTTCCTATCATCTCATCAAATCCTGGCTGGCTTTCGTATTCCATTACTCTAACGGTGTTAGATCTAATCTAGAATGACCGGCATTTTTTTATCGTCTCTAAATAACTATCATCCAGGTAAAAACTTTTTGTATATAGATTGTCTCTATACGGTTCTAGTTTTGTTATCGGTTTTCAATAAATTTATGTTAAGTCATTGCAAATTGAAAACTGCGTGTATTTGTAATCCTTGTCATGCTTGCCCCCTACTTAAAAATTAGTACTTTGATAGCCTGTTTGAGTTTTATACATGCAATATGTCGCTTAAGAATAGTTGGCAGTCTCGAGCCGGGATACATGATCAAGGTCACTTAGAAATAAGCCTTTTAAATTCTTTACAGAGAGATATTTGCGCTACAGTTAATATTTTACCTTTTTCGCCCTCTTTATTGATAGCGAAGGAAAAAGGACAGCGAATATTAGTACAAAACATTTCATATTATATAGAATTTATATATAAATGGCGAAAAATTTAACAGGAATAATATGGAAAATATTGACGAAGAGGGATTTAACTGGGAAAAGTTTCCAGGTATACAACCATCCAGTAAGCATGAGTGTCAGAAAATCATACGAAGTACATAGGTATACTTTTGAAAAGTATTAGCAGTTAGGCTTCACAGTTCTTGTGTAAGCTCAAATGCAGATACAATGTATATGGAGAACTCCATCAACACGGATACTAATAGAATCTATCGCTACTGGTTGTGTAAGATAGAGAAATCTCAACCCGAGGACTAAGATTTTTTGTCCAGAACGAGGCTTGTCGAGTTCTGGACAAAAAATCTTAGTCCGAGGGTTGAGATTTCTCTATCTTACACAACCAGTAGCGATTGATTATTTTTCTCCCATATCTAACAGTATTTTAATGTGAAATAAAGGTAAACATGGACCCAAAACACATACAGGCAATTTGTTGATGGATTGTTGACGTGACGTCATTGTATTGTTGAGGTGACGTCATGCCATTGTTATGAACAGGGGAATCCCCCCGTCTCAACCCTAGGGCGGAGACAGATAAATCTAGCACCGGCAAAACGGGAGATAAATCTGTCAGGTGTGGGAGAAAATGTCATCAGACATTATAGTCCTCGAAGTATTACCTGAACGCATTCATTTACCAATGATAAATATTATATAAAGCTTAAATTAGAAATAATGATTGCTTTGAAATACACGTATTCCTTACTGCATAATTCAACTTAAATGTGCTTGCCTGAAATGCTTCAAGTCAAATATTTCATTAAATTGTAATATGTGAGTTTTTCAATATTAAATTTACATTGCCTCAATGTAACAAGAAATGACATCTGTTCCAAAAAAAGTATGATGATTTTGATGTGGATACAGATATAAACATACTATAAAATGGGAATTTTTCTCTGCAGTTAAACGTCCACCTTTTCGCCCTCTTGAATGACAGAATTTATCATCACAGCAACCATTAGTACACTTCGTACCATTTATACAATGTAGTAATAACAATTAAAGGGCGAAATTTACACGGCGCGAATTCGGATTTTACCGGTTAAGTGTGAGTGTTTAGTGAGGCGAAAATTAACTACTTTACATTTAAAAAATGAAGCAAGCATTTATAGGCGAAAGAATTATGTTTTGTCAAACCTCATTTTCACGACATATGCTACACAAAATCAAGGTATTTATTAATTATTGCCAATAACAACAACATTTTCCCTGATTACGAATTGTCTAATGGCAATTCAACTGTATCACAAAATAGCCTTATATCTTAAGTCGTGTCCTGGTTCAATGTCAGAAGTTAGAGTTAAACTACAAGCATTTGCAATTTTCTACAACAAAAATAGCATTATAGAGGGTTTAAGTGATTAATTAAGATAAAAATGTGTAAATGAACTCTTAAGAAAATGAGAAAATATGGACCTTGAAACACATTGTCGTTTAAAAAGGTGGTAAATGAAACAAGGGCCTTATACCGAAGTTTTACTATATTTAAACGAGGGGCATTATATCGAGGTTTTACTGTATTTCCGACTACTTCATCTGATATCTCGAACGACTTACTAAACTAACACATGTCTATGGTCCTAACCAATGCAACGATATTTTACCCTTAATTAAATATTTGGTATTACATTTATGGCACAATGGACAAACTTTAATAGTGAATTAGCGAAATAGTACATATCTTAAATAAGATATAGTACGGTTTAAAACCTGTGTACATTTTAGATAGAATAACATTAATAATTCACCAATTTAAAGAGTTTTGTTGTATTTGTATTACGATTACATATAATCCTTTTAGAATCGCTTATCTACTTCTATGGGCTGTTCAATCACCCCGAATGCCCATTTATGCTCCCTCTTCCATAGTCCTACTTACTATGGTGTGACTTACAGGGAAGGCGTGCTCAATTTGTGTATACCGTTAAAGTCCATATCTATTCTGACTACACAATAGGATCATATGTCTTACACGTTGTCTGGAGGGGACTTTAAAGGAGCACACTTTACGCGTCATGCCGCTTTAGTTGAGCAATGCATGTTGCAAGTAACTTCCGCAACAGTAACACACAGTTCTGATTTCGCAGTGTTAGGAGCAATTTTGAAGGTTACATGTAGAATGTTACCTAATTAGCTGTCATGTTAACTGTTGATTGATAACGCAACTCAATTGAACTCTCAAAAAGATACATTAACAGTTTAATACATAGTCACCATACATTCCAATTCGAAAAGGGCAATTTCAGACACTGAGTTATAAGTTTCAAATTAACATTCCATATTGTCTGTAAATTTCACTTCAATTTGTTTTCATTCACTATTACTGTCACTTTACTTTTTATCTCATTTTCAGTGACACTGCCATGCAAAGGTGAAATATATCTTTATACTATAAATAACCTGTCTGTTAAGCGAGATATATTTATTATAATTCAACGGCAAATATTCTGAAATATAAACATATGACATACGTATAAAATGATGTGACTGTTCCTTTAAGTGCATTTAAAATATGTTTTGTATAATTATTTACAAAAATACCATTTTATTATATGTTACGTATTACTATAAAACTTATTCTTACCGTTTAACTGTATTATTGGAGTAAATAGAATACGTAGAAACGAGAACTGTAGATAGCACGGCTAGTAAACTTAATAAGAATAAAACCATATATAAGTATTTACACAAATGTCTTTAAATATATATAGACAACATATTTAATCCATAATTATAGACAGTAGGTGGTGTATCTCTTGTAAAATGTCACATAGACCATTTTTGTAAATTATTTCAGAACAATATTTCAAATGAGCTCCTTTAAAGATTTACAGTGCGTTGTGTTGAAACTGCAAATTCATAGGACAGAAGTCTGAAGGACTTCCATACATGTGTATCGCTCTTTATATACGATACGTATACCTGTAAAGTGTCCATCTATACATTATTTGTTAGCTTGATGATACATTAAAGTAATTTTGGAAACAATCTTTTCACAGTTATGAAAACTAAAAAAACCATATCAGTATGTTTCAATGGTTACCCTTAAGCAATTAACACAGAAATATTCAGATTTTTAAGGTCAAGTTCAACAAGATTTAATTTGTAATGTTGTCCTTTATGTATCACTAAGCTGTTGAATTATTGAAACAACCAGGTGCAAGAACAATTAGTGACGGTATTATGTTAGCTTAACGAAACACAAGATGATTATCCGGTTTCTAATTTGTTAAATCTCTACACAAACAAAAAATGATGAAACATATCCTGTTTCATGTATAAAGAATATTTTGAAATCATATGAGCAGGAGTGTCTAGTTTTAATTTTGCAGATGTTAAAAAGAACTGGTATCAAGATTTTACATAAAGTTGATCATGCTGCTAACAAACCTAGTACAATTGATTACTGAACAAAGTCGGCCTTCGTTAGCTTAACATCATAACAAGACAACATTTAGATAAATGTATTAATTTGTTTTTTGTTCAGGCGAAAAACGAAAAGAAAAGAGAAAAAGTATTTTGTCAATTCAATTAATTACCGCTAGTATGACAAATTTCAAGATACAACAAATTTAAAAATGCCAAAACGTTTAACTCGAATTTAAAAATTTAAGAATTTGTCCTTGCTTAACGAAGCTTAATAGTGTTGTTCATGTTTCCTGTGGGAATAGAAAATCACTCAACCGTGATCAAACACTTTATTTAACAAATCGTCGGTAATCTAGTCGAGCCAAAACTCTGAATGAACACTTTAAATATCTATTCTTAAAATTAAACAATACCCTCCAAAGTACACGGCGTATGTAACAATGGATAATGAGTTTTAAACAATGAACCGTCTTTTAAAACAATGTTTCTCTACTAGAGCTATGTAACCATTATATGTAATGAAAGACATTCAGAGATGGTGTCACATTGCCAACGATCATACCATACCCAAACCTCTCATCGGTATCATAGCCACAACGGGAATTAATCAACAGTGGATCTAGTTTCGTGGTATACGATTGTAGTTTGGTTGTAACACAAGCATTATATAGGCATAACTGGTTTTTGGATAAAAGAAGTTTTCATTTATTTTTCTCAACAAACTGGGAATATTATACGTCTACAAGAAATATCATGGTTGAAAAATCATCAGAATGAAGTTGTAAGAAAAGAACAGTTCTGCGGTTTGTGAATGAAATAGTTTCCGATGGTGATACTGTAAGAAACAGACCACTTTATACGTAAAAGCCATAGTTATTAGGAATATCATCATGGATGGATTTATGGATTCGTATATCACCAGGACATATTGTTTATTTGGTCATAGGATCAAACCCAAACCACATCAGGAGGTAGGTTATAATTGTTTATTTGGTCATAGGATCAAACCCAAACCGCATCAGGAGGTAGGTTATAATTTACAGGGAGACATTGCTGGGATGCACATGCTAACAATAGATCAATTTGAAAAGTAAAATATTTTTTTTTTTCTTTTTAATTATTTTTAGTATTGCTGTATGAAAATATTGGAACGTTAATGTGTTTTGATCTTCATTACTTAAAAAATATTTTTCTAGTTTTAAACTGCTTCAAGAATTATCTGTCAGTGTATATTTGTTGAATATAAATCGACTGTTTTGTTATACAGATCAGTATTAAGTATATCGTTGTTATTTCTGTTGAATTTCTTTTCAAGTAAATCCCGTCCTTAAATGACCATAACTGTTGATAGGACGTTAAACAATACTAAATCAAACTAAACCAAACTACAAGTGAATCGACTAAGCATACATGATAATCATCCCAATAAGTGTACCTTGTGGTTTCGTTGTTACTTTGAGGACGTGGCATTGATTGGATTTTACCTAGATATCATGGCGAGTGACGTCGATGAAACCGAAATCGCTTACCTTTCCGGAAGTCATGATCTTACACTTCTTGTCCCTTTTTCATGTTCTCCGCGTAACACACTATTTTGTTTATATGTTGTCCGTTTTCTGTGATTTAAGTTTAAATTCACATTTTGGTCATGTTTTAATGTGCCTCGTCCTTTAATTAGAATTGTTAGTGTTATCTATATGGAAGAAGTCGGCTGCCAATTTGTATTACGAGAGGCAATTAATATGATTGATCCCTCAATTTCATTACACTGGGTTCGCAATACAACTGTAAACTGCAATTCCTTCTTTTGATATATAAGATTGTTAAATATCGTGCAGATGCTTTGATGTAATCCAGCGGCAAACCCTATAATGTTATAGTATTCATCTGACAATAGTGACAACAAAGATAAACATTGAAATAATTCAACTGAAAAGACATTCAAAATTTGTTTCATCTTTACAGACTTCATCTTAATGCCCTTTTAAAAACGTAATATATATCAAATATCTCTAAGAATTCAACCATATACAATGCCTTATCTTTCATAAAGATTAAACGAACAAAGTTTATCCAAAGAAGATGAAAAAACTCCCAAAATGTCCTGTGTAATATGTTAAGAATCCCTAAAATACATTTTGTATTAAACTTAGTTTCCATCCTAAATGAACTATCCACAACCCTTTGCTTTGATTGGCGTTTCTTTTCCGTCAAATATTTTTCCTTTCATGGCTCATAGTAACACTAGCTCTTTATATGAAGAACATGGACGTACAAAATGATATGTGTCCAAGACGTGACATTTCGGGCTAATACAGAAAGGAGACTTTTTAGCTGTGGTTAAGCATGGCTATTCTTATGTAGAACTTATATCAAAGAACAAATCCTCAAAAAACAGAGCATGTCCAATTATTGAGTGCCACTTTGAATTATTCAAATAAAGAGACAATCACGCTATATATGTATGTATGTATGTATGTATGTATGTATGTATGAATGTATGTATGAATGTATGTATGTACATAAAACACACATTCATTCATACATACATACACACATACATACATACATATAAAACGTATAATCATAACAAGTCGCTTAAGTCTTGGCAACACTTCGGAATCAACGTGAGCTCAACTGATAATTATTATCTATCGTGCGATTGATAAGTAGATCATGCAATGCATAATAACTTGGTTGTATGATTATTTGATATATTTAAAAATATTACTTTAAAGTTTTAAGTATTACATCATTTTTATCGTTCGATATATTTCATATTAGACATGTAACTATTAATATTGTGGTGTGTAACATTTAGAAGAATATTGATAATGTTATGTTTTATCTATTTATCATTTTACTATATTGCATAAAACATATCAATCAATTTATCATTTGATGTTTTAGATATAAATCAAAGCAATTTGTAATGTTTTAGACATGTATCATTTATCGTTTAATGCCTTAAATATTAACCATTTTGAGGCAATAGAAGTATATAATCTATTAATGAAGCGTTTTCTGTTCAGAATAATACTATGATATTACAACCATATTGTTAAATATAGAATCCGTTCTAATAAGTTTTTTCAATATTATACAGCTTCGGCGCCGACCTCTCCCACCTGGTTTCTGCTATGTGTGCAGTCGACTTGATCCTAATGCACGCCACAAAAATCCCAACGGATACCTCTTTGCGAAAGGTTTCTTCGCCCACTGCGAACACATGCAACCACCACGCCCACCATATCCCACGTTCATCGAGGATGATAAAGACGTTGATATTCCATTAATTCCCCCGGAATATATCACGAATCGGTCTCCAGGACAACCGCCCCCTTACCCGAACGTGAACCTCAGTGTGAGTGTCACCATCAAAAACAAGAACTCCCCGTCACCGGATCAGAAATATAGCAAGAAATATTTCGATACTGCTGTCCTGAATGGCGTGGATGATAACGATTACGATAATGACGACGACAGATATCGACTCCCGCCTATGTTTGATAAGGAAGTTCAAGAAAATGGGAAACACATATTACATGTCAGTGATAAATCGTTTGCCGAGGCAGGGTCCTATGCTGAGGAGGAACATACGATCTTATCTGACGATGACTTTAAGGTGCCCCATTTACCCTCTCTTTCTAAAACGAAAAACATTACCTCAAACTTCGATGAGTATAGAAACGACCAAGCTTCCAGGTCACCTCGGCGATCAATAAAGATGCGGAATTCCTTGAAGAAGAAAAGGAATAGAAGAGAGGACGAAAAATCCGGAAAATCTCATCCGGAAAAGGATGAAATGCAACGTCATGATGATGAGGACGATGAAGATGAAGAAGGTGTGTTAAAATATAATCACAGAGATGAGTTCTCGTCTCTTCCAAATGAAGGATTAGAAATGGCGCCTTCTCGCGACAATTCAAAATTGAATACTGGTGCATTAGACGTGTCCTCCAGTTCACTGAAGGAAGTGTCATTCGGTGACCGGAGGAAATCGAACCAGGAGAATCCTCCCTCAATGATCATCCAAAAGATTGGATCAGCAGAACTTTGGTGCGAGTGTACTAATCTTGACCATAGTACACTAAAATGTGACGAATGTGCTGCCGTAGGCGGGCACGAGAATTGGTGCACGTACGCGCGTTCTGCAACTCGTAACGGAAAATGTCCGAAATGTGGGAGGCACGTGCGTAAGACGAAGACACTGAGTTCACACGACCTTAAGACGGACATTAAACGGAAACAAAGTTTAACGCGCAGACTGTCGAAGGGGACTACAAAGTCAGATGATTCTGACGTCACACGTAAACGACCGTTTAGTGATACTCCTCTGACAGCGGGGAAGGCTGCCGGTCTACACGTCCGCTTCGAGGACGATAAAGAAGGCTCCCATGCAGAAAAGCATGCGGACAGTATTAGAAGTAAAACTGTCACGGACGAGGATTATAAAAAATATGATAAGGCATATCAAGACTTTGTTTATAATCGTGAAGGTTGGACAGAGCACTCCGATTATTCTGACGACGAAGATTTTGAGGACTACTTGCCAAAAGTGCATCCACGCGTCGATCCAAACATCCATAGGGACGCTTACTACCGCGCCATAGCAGCGAGGAGCCTAGAAAAGTTGAAAAAAATGAATGAAGTTGATGAAAAGTTCGCTGCCGATAGAATAAGTAAACCTCACGTGTTTTCGTATTTCAAACTTAGGCCACATCAAAAGAATGCTCTACCTGGTGGCCCTGATAACATAGGAATCATGCCATCGGAATCCGCCAACGTCCGGCCACGCAAGGCCATGAAACATATATTTGGAAAAATCAAAGTAGACGACTTTTATCCGGGTGGAAAGAGAAATAAAGCTCAAGTGTCCGTGTCAAAAGAGAAAAACGAACAAACAATGCCGATAAACAAGTGGACAAGAGGAGGAATAAATGGATGATGTAGGAAAATCTGTCCTGAATCAAACATCAAATTAGCTCAGCGGCAAATGATGATGGAGGTTTCTTGATCGTATAACTATGTAAAGCAACCATTACCCAAACAGTATTATAGATATTTAAACGAATTCTAATAGCGTTTTATATCATATGTGTTAAAAAATAATATCATCTCTGCATCCTTGGATTTTACCTTGACAAATCGAATGGTCTTGGAAAGCTCGTTGATTAGTTCCATTTATTATACCCCCGCAACGAAGTTATGAGGGGGATTTACTGGAATCACTCGTCCACAGTAACTTGTCCGAAAAACTCCACCTTAACTACCATGTGGATTTCATTGAAACTTTGCATGAATGATTGGTATCTTATGTATTTGTGCACCGGCATTTTAATTTGGGATTTCGACCCTTTTTGATGGAGTTATGCCCCTTTGTGCGAAATACTTGTCCGCGTAACTCCTCCTTAACTAACAGCTGAATTTCATTGAAACTTTGCAAGAATAATCAGTATCTTATGTAGTTGTGCATTTTATTTTGAGATTTCGACCTTTTTTGATGGAGGTATGCCCCTTTGTGCGAAATACTTGATACTGGTGGGAGACTATGGATTGCTTTGCAATGCTTTGCTTTAGTAAGTCTTTAACTTACAGTTCTGGTTTATATAGCAGCAGGGATATTAGTAAGCCTTCGGTTTACAGTTCTAGTTCAAACCTGACCAATGGCTGATAGTGGTAGTCTATTTTTTTTTTAGATAATTAAAAGTTTACAGTGAAATCAAAACTTGCCAATTTTATTGTTACGCTGCGATCAAGTTTGATCTATAATCAAATGATTTCTCTGAGATCACAGATAAGGCTGCGAATACAGTGACTACGTCATAAGAAAACTCAAGGGTGTAGAGTAGACATTTGATATCAAAACGAGAACCCTTCTATTTCGAAAATGAAGAATAGTGGATTTCAATGATGAAGAAAGGGATGCCTGTTTAGCTTACTTGTTAATATGTAGAAAAGCATTTGTTTTAAATTCTGTATTAATCCTTGATAATCTGATCGGGGTTCGAATGACAAGGCCTTATTCCAAAATTAATGCAATTTTAGTTACAAAATCACTTTATAATAGTCCATGAAATATTTGCGTGAAATTCTTATAAAGCTTTTCACGCAAGCTTCAACAACGTTTTTCTCTATATCGATAGGTTATATTATTTTGTTTGATTATTTATTCTGGGAAATAAATGTTTTATCTAGGAAATGTGTGTTTACTATTTATTAATTCTCAAAAGCACAAATCTAGTCATCAAATCGATTGCATTTAGATTGACAAAGTTAGATAAATATAATTTGTAAAAATATTACTGTTATTTACCTTTACAATTTTTGAATACTATTTTTACATAAATGTCGAACTTGTTGATGTACAAAACACAAATTCAGGCAAACACTACAAGCGTTGAAACAACTTTGCAGTATAAAGTAACATCTTGCCTTTGCTAGTAACACCAACTCTCTAGCAATTGAAGGTAGAATATGATACTAAAGTAAATGGAATACTACAATTCTACCAAGAGATTGTATGTTCTACGTGCGTGGGAGTATACATAATGGCATAATGAATTTGGTATGGCAGAAAATAAAATAAAAATGTATTTTACGCGTGTGAGGGAGCATTAATATTTACATAATGCAATGTTGCTATGGTATGATAAGAAGCTAATAGATAATGCATTTTATAATTGCGAGTTAGCGTACATAATCACATAATGTAATATTACTTTGGAATGACAGGCAATTATGCATTTTACACCTTTGACGGACACTGTACGTATAATTAACATATTTTGTTGTTACTAAGAATGCATCACAAAATAAAAAGCTGCTGCACAAATGCTTAATAAAGAGAAGACAATGAAATATACACGTGTGAGGAAGCAGGTCTTGACATTTACCCGCCTATGCTACTCTCAATGAACATCGATTTTAAGTTATCCTAACCATTTTCTGCAGACGATCACTCTAATCTATCTTACATTTATTAATAAGCGAATTGTTCAATTAAGGTAATACATTTGCATCGATTTTATCAGACAAAATATGAATATTTCAATACCCGTGGTAGTTTTATCATCAGTGTCATTACGGGATTAATATACACATACATACAATTTATTCTTCAGTCAGATAAACTAACTCCACTCATATTATATTTTTCACTGACTTGTTTGAATTTGATTTTGTACCTTTCTTGGCAAATCCTAAACATTGAAGAATTTCACAGTGTATGCATATTTGCTAGGTTTTCAAAACGGAGTGGGAGATATCAAATACGTCTAAAGGGGATTGAACTAGGTGCGTTACTCCATTTACTGCTTCAGGGTCAATATTAACTATTAAAGGGAAATAACTGGAGTAAATTAAAGGACCAAAGAACTATTCCCATGAGTCGATCTACACAGCTGATATGCGCTTCATTGTCACCAGTCTAGTCTATTTATCTAAATCCACATATGTCATATAAGCTGTGATGTTGTTGATCCTCACAGTACTTTGAAGCTAAATCATATAATGATTACAATAATCACAAAACATTTATACAAAGTTTACAGTGTAGTGAAGTGTCCAATAATTGCGGCATATACTAATTACAATAATCACACATACAGTAATGCAAACTGTACAGTGTAGGGAAGTGTAAATAACATTAAATAATACTACAAACTGTACAGTGTAGGGAAGTGTAAAAACATTAAATAATACTACAAACTGTACAGTGTAGGGACGTGTAAATAACATTAAATAATACTACACACTCTACAGTGTAGGGAAGTGTAAATAACATTAAATAATACTACAAACTGTACAGTGTAAGGAAGTTCATATCATAATAATCAACATCAACCATGCATAATACATTATTAAAATTATCACGATGTAGGGAAATTAACCTGCATATATATTAATCCTATAATTATAACAATAATCACTCATCAGTTAATACGAATTTTACAGTGTAGACAAATGTATTATGGCTACATCATATAATACTTACAAATCTTTGAATTTTTATGAAAAATTTATATAGATATAGAGACTGTCAAGGCTGTCTTGGCTCTTGTTACCAAATTGCAGGCGATTCTAGTATATGTTTATGCGTCTCTACACAATAGAATGTCTTATACATCTATTCCGTCTTTGAGTATTGCAGAGTTATCTTCTCTTGTGAACAGGTGGTATTGATTGTTACGTCATCGGTTTGTATGAGAAAATTACGTCGTTTTCTCAAAAAATGATGACGTTACTCTCACAAACTAATGACGTAACAATCAACATCTGTTCACAAGAGCAGATAACTCTGCAATACAAAAAGACGGTGTGTTTACACGCCTATGTTTAATGTAATATATAGGACGTGATTTTACGTCATTGTAATAATAACAATAAAAAAGTACATTAACCATAAATACATAAGTAAACAATTTACAGTTAAGAGGGGTGTGTATTACATTTTGTAATAACTACAATAAGCATACATTCACAAATACAAAAAACTTCTGTGTAGAAAATTATGTTAAAGTTGATTACTATAAAATTGTTTACAAGTAAGAAAACAAAGCATCAATAGACATTAGGCACAAACAACTCACACACATACTTTCATGTTTGACTGACGCCGCTGACAAACCACAACCTTTATCATCGGTGTCTTCTTGCTCAGCGCGCTCTGTACTACTCATGAACCTTATTTTTCACTGATTGGTTCGGTATCCGCCGGATTCCGGCTGGTCTTTGAATGGTAATGCCTTGCTTATCGGTGATGACCTGTGGGTGTCCCTGAAAAGTTTGATGAGAAGGTGCATATGCCTAACATTCTGGTACTCTGTGCAATGTCATAATATGCTCATTATCCTCTCAGAAAACATTACGTATACCAATCATAACAAACACGCACCTTTTTACCAATTTATTCCACTCATAATATCAACATAATGCATTACAATCGCAATATTATACTTAACAATCCAAACAACACAGGTCCGGTTAAAAAAACAAGTAATAAATTACGAAACGGCGTCCACACTTTTTACGCCATATCATGATCTAACCTGTGTAGTAGAAAGCAATATTAAGTGGGTATGGTGATGTAATTTGTGTTGTGTCTTATTTTGGTATTCTATTTGCCAGAGACAACAATCCCTTATCACCCCTCTGCTACCTGATTCTTTTTATTATCAGAAGGGATATTAGAACAAATAGAAACTTGAGTCAGAATAACAGTTTTAACATCTATTTACCTGTGGAAAATGTCTGTATATACGTTGTGTATGATGTCATTGTAGAATATATACAGTAATAGTGCATGAATCATTCATTAAAGTTTGCATTGGTATGCGAGTAATTTTAATGCCAAATATTTATCTGATTTTTTTTTTTTTAGAGTAAACCTGGATACACTGAATAAGTAAGTATTAAGTAATAAAACTAGTAATATACCTTCTCTCCCTTCCCTTGCTAATAACCAATCTCCAAATTAACATAAATTAACATATTTATTCTGCACCTGTTAGATACTAGTCAAGCTCCCATATTTCTTTCTAATGCTTACAAACTACCCAAACAAGCCGTGTGAGACCCCCCGCGTCTGATATATATAAGTATTCAAATTACTGTTCTTCTTTATATCTTTTATCAATTCTTACAAACTCAATGATATGATTTCTATAAAACGCCATAAATGTATGAAGTGTAATTTTGATGGTATACGACAAAAAAGCAAAATAATTAAATAGTATACAGCAATTGAGTATATATTACATATTCTTATAACGTTGGCGATCAAGGACGCTTTTCAATGGTAAATAACCTCGCATTTTTTGAAGCTGTACTATGTGTGTACACGTTTTTTTAAAAATAAAATCTTACTTTCCTTAAATCATCAAACTATTGCAAATGTCAACCCTTGTTACCTATCGCTTGGATTATTGTAACACCCTGCTCTGTGGTATATCTGACAAACTATCTAGTCGTCTACAGAGGGTCCATAACACTGCAGCACGGCTGGTTACTCGTACTCGAAAGAGAGAGCACATCACACCTGTGCTATATTCGTTGCACTGGTTTCCTGAACGATACAGGTCGCAGTACAATATTCTGGTGTACACATACAACGCACGGACTGGAACAGCTCCTCACTACCTACAGGAACTTGTTCCCCTGTACCAGCCGTTACGATCACTGCGGTCGGAGTCAGAATCTTTGTTGTGTGTCCCAAAATCTCGTACTGTGACCTACGGAAGCAGGTGTTTTGGGAGGGTTTCGGCCACGTTGTAGAATAGCTTACCATCTGCTATAAGAAAGTCAAATACCCTGGCCAAGTTCAAGAGGAACATCAAAACTCACCTCTTCACGTCTGCATTTTAGAATCCTTGCAAAGACGTCATGTAAATACCAACCTTTATTTGTTCAATCATATGCAAATTGCTTGCTTAAATGTATAAAAGTGATTGTAAGCCTTTTCTTTTGTTTCACAATTATAACTATTACTAATATCCATATGTTGTAAAGTGCTTTAGAGTAATTTTACCAATTATATAGGGCGCTATATAAATGTTGTATATTATTCATTATTGTTATGTGAGATGGCAGAGGTGCACAGCTGTAGTCACACGATGGTAATTAATACACAGAAGTCTCCCAAGACGCATCATCGATACCCAAGGGGTTACGCTCACTATTGCAGAGAGCGTAAGTGAGCGTTACCCCTAGTGTATCGACGATGCCCAAGACAGTGTAAGAGCCTATTCGGGAACCAGTTGGTGTGAGTCAATGATGTAAGTATCCAGACTTACCCATCAATTCCCTGGTGTCTGCTATTTACTCATAATAAGCACAATCGAGGTCAAGAGGGATCAACAATGATACTCTACAGCTATCAGGGATGTGGTCGCCCCGACAGGCTGATACAAACACCTCCCATCCGCACTTTACGGTACATATTAATTTACATTACTCACCGCGCATATTTATTGACTAATCTCATTGTCATGGGTATTATAATTTGTTCTCGACTAATTGTGGAAAAAAATAAAAATAAAATTTATCTTTTAAATTTTCATTATATAATTATTGGATTTTTATTTTTTGAAATAATTTTTTGTCGTTCCGCTTATTGCCACTCTATCTCAGTTACAAAGTTATATTTTTGATAGAACAACATTGATACTTTGTTAATTTATATCTGTCGCCTGAAAAAACTCAAGAGAGCATGAATACCAAAGATACCATGCTATTCCCTCATTGTGTCAGTTCAAAATTCAGGATACCATAGTCTCTCTCCCCCCCCCCCCCCCCCCCCCCCCCCCCCACCCCCCGAGTACCAGAATTAAATATCAAGGATACAATATTAATTCCACAAGCACCACGGATAAATATCCAGAATACAAAAGTACCCACTCCCGTGTACCAAAGCTAAATATTAAGGATACACTATTAATTCAACAAGCACCAACGATAAATATCTAGGATACCATAGTATTCTTCCCGAGTACCAAAGCTAAACATCTGAGAAACAGAGCTTGACATCCAGGTTACCATATTGTTCCCCCTAGTACCATAGGTAAACATCTGAGAACCAGGGCTTGACATCCAGGATACCATGGTGTTCACCCTAGTACCATAGGTAAACATCTGATAACCAGAGCTTGACATCCAGGATCCCATATTGTTCCCCCTAGTACCATAGGTAAACATCTGAGAACCAGAGCTTGACATCCAGGATACCATATTGTCCCCCCTAGTACCATAGGTAAACAGCTGAGAACCAGAGCTTGACATCCAGGTTACCTTATTGTTCCCCCTAGTACCATAGGTAAACATCTGAGAACCAGATCTTGACATCCAGGATACCATATCGTTCCCCCTAGTACCATAGGTAAACATCTGAGAACCAGAGCTTGACATCCAGGATACCATGGTGTTCCCCCTAGTGTCATAGGTACACGTTCCTCAGATGCTCTTGTTTCCCATTTCTACGAGACATGTCATTATGTAGTTTGGCTGCATTGTCTTTTAAATCACTTACAAACAGCCAACAATTGAAACAAAATCAATTCCCATGTGAAGAGTATTTGGTGTATTGACATTTTTTGTTACCATAATATTGAAGTATCACTCACTGCTGTACTGTTACCAAGTCATTTGGGTGGTAGGGTGATGCAGTGGATAGCGTACTTGCCTTTCATCAAGGCAGCCGGGGTTCGATTCCCTGATCGGACGTGAAAATGTATAGGGTCACCTGCTCGACCACGTGAGTTTTCTCCGGGTACTCCGGTTTCCTCCCACACTAAGACCCCCCGCGCGCTAACATCCGGGCCAACAAGAGCGATTAATAAAAGTAAAATTAACTTGTTTCATAATTGTTGTAAAATAAATAAAGTTTATATTTATAGTCATATGTACATGGCTATTCGATATTACCCCAGTAACACTAGGATAGCGCTTTATACAACTGACGAACCAAGGTAGAAAGCATTGATAGCGCACTTAACCCATACACGTTAATGACCTTCATAGATTTTCCAAGTTACCCAACGTCACAGGGCACTCCCGTTACGTTTGGAGAGTATCCTGGCTTTTGTATTGGGGTTAGTTGTCATAGTTTGATATCATGTAATCATGTTAAAAAAATATATATATATGTATATAAAAAAACCCAACTGTGATTGGATTTTAAAAATTTCAACAATGTCCGACATATACTCAGCTGTTGTAAGTATGCATGTCTGTTTGTATGTGACGTCACCTCTTATCAATTTTCATTGTGTATTTATACCTGGAATGGAAAAATCTATTTGGTTTCTTCGTAATGACGTATATTATTGTAATTTGTTTGTATCCACAGATGTATATTTATAACCACTTTCCCACAAAACTTGTAACAGCAGCTTCCTTGGAATGGCGAAATCTGAACCAATGTAGGGATGCAGTGAGCATGTTATTTGATGATAAATGTACATGTCTTGTTAAAGGTTTTTTTTATGACAACAGAAGAGAGGGCGCATATAACATCGGTTTGTTCACCGAGGTCATATCAAGTTCAAAATTTGTTTTTTTGAATCAGTATTTACGAACCCCACAAAATGTAAGGTTAGATTGGTCAGTTATTTGTAGAAATTTCTCATAAATCTCTTTCATACCAGAATATTTGGTAAACTCAAACCAAATTAACATTATATGGCAACACAAAAATTGTGAAAGTAATAGTTTAAAGTGATTAAAATGTGTTCCTTTAACAGTGCGATTCTCTCGTTTATTTTTAGGCTTGTAACATTACTTACCTTTGGTAAAACAAACTCTATAATTTTCAAGTCTTTAGAATTGTTGAGACAACGAAGGTCATCTTTGTACAAGTAATCATGTTTTCCTTTTTTCCTTTATATAGGAGAGGTTTATACAAATCACTGTCAATATCTGGCCGGATGTTCCCTCGTTTTCATGTAAGTAAACATCGTCCTTGTACCACTATTCAGATGTTGCATAAACACGCTTTTCTTTAAAAGAAATATGATTTTGTTTGATACTAGCAATACAAAATGTGTATTAAGGATTTTTGTAAGAAAAAATGGGAGGGCACTTTGAAGTATGTTGACGAAACACGCGGTTTAAAATAAAACTTACATATCAATAGATGACGCTGTCTTTACTTTACTTCAATGATTCCGACATAGGTAGGACATCATAAAGCATTCACCATTAATAGTTCAATACATCATACACCACTGCCCGAGGACTACCTTCAATGGGGAGCATGCTGCAAGTGTGCTTACTTTGGCGACTTTGAATAGTGGTAAGTTGTAATAAGTTTCAAGCGAAAAGTGAAACTTATTTATTTTCATATTTTATTTCAACAAGCCATTTTATGTACATCTAAAGTGTACGTTTTCCTGTTGTTGATACCTTCATCGGTTTCGGCCAAATTGATTATGAGCGAAAGACAATTCTCTGGAATACAAAACGAGTATTTAAATCGTTATAAACGTCAACAACTCATTTGATTTGGTGTCAATTTTGTAAAAGTGGATAATGAACAACCAACATCCTGACACGAAAATCTGTTCAACGACATATGAATTTCGAATTCGTTTTACTCTAAGAATACACTTTGATTCCTCAAATAATTAATCTAAAATAACGCTTCCTTCTTTGATACTATATTGTCGAGATTATCTTTGCAAATGAAGTAAATATATTCAATCCTGGTCTATTGTGGTTTATGGGGTATACACTTCAATGGATCTAGAGTAAAAACAAATTATCTTAATGCCTATTCATTGAAGTTTATACCCAATAAATATCATCAGACTGTGATTCTATCCTTAAAAGGACAAGGCCATACAAACGTGTGTACGTGTGTTGACTGGACTGGACAAGTAAGATACATATGATATTGCTAATAAATTTTGCAGAGAGCCAAACAAGTAAGTTTCAGTTGTAATATTATTTTTTCTCTTCCCCCCAGTATTAGTGTGTTCTGTTTGTGATTACAACCTTATGACTGGGCCTTATGACGCGTCCTCAACTCATCCCCACTGTCCTACCAACAAGGCTAGAATCAATAGTACCACTGGCTGGTGTCCCGGCAGGTCCGTAGATGGACAATACTTACAGGTAATCATGATACCAATTGGCTGGTAATGCCTTTCTATACACGTCTTAATAGGACACAGCCTTACAAAATCCGTGCTGAACTCTTGTTGTACTGAATGCATGGTAATGTTTAATTGTAAGATTCAATGCATGCTTATAACATGTAATACTGGGTCCTAAACACCAGTATCAGGTAAAACAGGAAAAGTATTGCAGGTAATACTTTACAAATGTATAACGTAACAGGTAATACTGGACCTTTATTACAGGTAATACTGGACCTTTATTACAGATAATCCTGGAACTTTATTACAGGTAATTTTAAATACGAGTTACAGGTAAAACAACTTGTTCACCTTTCCAATGGATATAATTAATGGATTTAAGCTTCGAGTGATAGGTGGTGAAAGTCGATTTCAAAACTGCGTTTTAGACACCTGGCAATGTTCTGTCATGGTGGCAAGCATTAAAGTTTTTCACATACTGGGCTATGTCCGTTTTCGAATGAGCACTAGGGCTGTCTTCCCAACATGACACATTTTTATACACCAATTGACGGAACTCTTCTTGAAGTGCTAGTTGCGCGTGTTCTGTACAAAATGGCATCATTGAGAAGGAGTGTTTACCAGTCCATCAACCAGGACCTTACTCGGGGTAGTTCAGACCTCACTGGATAGTTCCTGTCCTCCTTCCAAGAGATGTGTCACTTGTGCCAGGTGTGGTCTTTCTTATGAGCCTCTACCCTGTGATTGAGTGTTGGTAGACCAATGTTAACATTCAATAATCTTTGACCTTCGACGTACAGTGAATTCAGCATTTACCAGTTCAGTATCTTTCACCCTAAGTATCCCAACCACTGCCACCATCTCTTCCTTGGTACTGCTCTCGATACAGTCGCCAATATACTGCCACATTTCAAGAGATACCTTAACAAGGTAGCATTGATCTCAATACGTTTTTTCTTCTTAAAAAACTCACGTATCTGTACCAACTATTAGTCAGATAAATGTATTTGAGCACCAGTTTTCCAAAACTCACGGCGTTCCGCTTCCTTTATATTTGCGTCATCCATAAACTTCTTACTTACATGTTTCAAGATGAAGGTATCTCGAGACTTTGGTGCAACACCCGAAAATCCCAATAATAAACCTGATTTGAAAAGAGACCAGCTTTGAAAATAACCATGGGTTTCATTCCATTCAAATATATCATGAGTGAAAGGCAGCTTCAAAACTAAGCAGGATTTGTCTTGGATTCCATGCAGTCAATTTTCTCTCCAAAATAGGCCGCCTGTGTATTAGTCATACTGCAACATACTTGTACCTGGTATAGCTGCATTAGCAGGATAAAGGCTGTGTCCAGGTTCGTTTGCATCAATAAGAAATATATTACAAATTACTTCTATCACATCTTAAATACCTTCTGAAGATAAAAAAGATGATTTTCTTTGAACCTCAAAATGAACACATGCACAAACATGTATCAGCACACACCGACCAAATTAATGTAAACATTCATAGATTACACAAACCTTCTCATAACTGGCGATGAAAATTATGTAAGTAGACACCTATTGTGATCGTATTTATAATCGTAGAGATCAAGGTTCCTCTATGGTTTTGGTAATCGTCAGTATTAAAGATTAAACTTTGCGTCATCGACTAATCTGGTTGGCTAGGGTCACTAATGTTGTGCTATTCTTACAATATACAGGTGGCATTTCGGACCGTCTCTATGCTGAAGGCTATAACGACCCTCGGGAGGGTTAACGCAGATCAATGGGTGATCAAGTACAAAGTCAGAACCAGTATGGACGGAGTCACTTGGACCTACGTATCGAACTCTACCGGAGATGAAATGGTAAATCTAGCTCGAACCCCATTGGTGTTACTCTGCTACTCTTCGATATAATGATTTTTGCTTATATTTAAGGCTTGTCGTTTATGCTATAACAATATATAACATAAAATAAAATAAATAACTAAAATGTAAAAAAACCTATTTATTTACCTGTTTTTCCGTATTTCCTAAAAAACCATTACGACGATCTGACTATTTGCCTTCGCTTCTGAAAGCAAAATCGTAATATAAATCTCACATTCATGTTCAATATTTCTACGAAGAACATGGTTATTATCAAAATTTCTGACATAAGATTTGCCTGCATATGTGTCAAAGTAAAGAGATCCGTTTGTGAGGAACGTTGGTAAATAGAGATATAAACCAAGAATAGATATGTATACCCTATACCCTAGTATGATTGATTTTTTTTATTTATTTAATGTACTTGGGATTGACAAGGTAACAGCCCAAGAGAGAGAGAGAGAGAGAGAGAGAGGGGGGGGGGGGGGGGGGGGGGGAGAGTGAGACCTTTGAGAAAACATGGGAGTCATGGTCGAATATTTTCATACCCTAAAGCTAAAAATGTAAATCTTATTTTAAATCCTCTATGGGTAAAGAAATTAATAAACCTAGCTGAAACCCGAGAAAACTCGAGAACTATATATAGTATATATAACAACAATTAAGTATATGTCTACATAAAGTATTGAATATTCTAAATTATATTTGTTTATATATATAGGTATATGCTATTCTATATGCAAAATGCTGTGAGAGGAAACTGATGATTGACATATAATCTTATAAAATTAAAAAGAACTCACATGAAATATATAACTATGTGTATACATGTTTATGTTTTTTGGTTTGTTTGTGTATGCTTATGCATCTATGTATGTACGAATGGATATATTTGCACATTCTTAGGCATGGATTGGATATATGTGTATATATGTGCATATCTGTGTGTATATATGTTGGAGCATGCATATATGCATGTACGCATTCTCGATTTACACGTGTATATATGTTCTGATGACTCCCCTCGTATTAATGCTGTGTAGTAATGAAACATTTTAGAGATCAAAAGTGACACATACTGAAGAATCCTTTTGGTTTGAATTATTGCATAAACTACATGTATTGATTTGTGCTACGTTTATGCATGTATGTAGGAATGTGTGTATGTTTACAATATTTTCATATGTCATGTATGTTTGTATGTATCCTGAGTAAATGTAAGTGTGTTCAGTATACATATGTGTGTAGCTGTGTGTTAAGGCTGTCGCAATATATCGGAAAACAGGTGTATCGCAGTACACAGGTATATTATATTGTACTACAATACGGAGATGAAATATTGCTGTATCGCAATATTTTTTTAAAGTAATTTTCATGTATCTCAATCTGCTTGGTAATCTAACTTTGCAAATTACTACAAATTCTAACAGATATGCCAATAAGCATACAAAAGGCTTTTAATAGTGGTGGAAATTAGTTCAAATAAGTTTGATAACATTCTGACAACAACTTATCATACAATCGCTATGACAATATATCGGGATACGTATCGCAATATATTCATTCTGTATTGCGATATATCGTGATACACTCTTGGCGTATTGAGACACCTCTAGTGTATGTCCATGTATACATATGTACATATGTATGTATGCTATGTATGTATGTATTATATATATATATATTATATATATGTATGTTTGTATGTTTGCTATGTATATGTGTGCGTGTTTGTGTGTATTGATATTACTATGTAAAATGTATATGTATGTTTGGCTGAAAAAAAAATGAGAAAAAAAATGAAAAAGAAAAGAAAGGATAGATATGTACTCGTAATAAGGTTCTCAAACCATATTCACATTTTCTTCATTATTTAAAAATTCAAAGAGCTGGAAATTTTTACCACTGAACTCAACAAAGATATTATCAACCATGAACTTATGATTTCATCCTTAGTAAACTTTTTCTTGATCTTCGTCGTGATTTTCAAATAGTGTTTAAACGATATATTTATATCACAGTTTGCCTTTCCTGAAAAAGTAGAATCTCTTTATAAGAAGCATGGTAGTGTAAAGGGTGAAAAGTCAAATATTATGATAGGCGGGATATGGTATAGAAGAGAGTCATAATGATTGATAAAAATACGTCACAGTCGACTGTAACCCTGCTTTAATGGTATTCAAAAGGCTTGCTAGAAGTCTGGTAATGGTTCGGTTTATTTCGTTAAGGTGTTTCCCGAAAACTTCGATAGAAACACTTCCGTGAAAAATAACCTGAAAGGGACTATCACCGCTAATTACTTCCGGATCTACCCCGTTGCCGCCTTTGTTTACAGATCGATGAGGCTAAAGGTCACGGGTTGCCCCTCCTCATCCGTTGTGTATCATACTATTACTTTTTGCTAGTTAGATATGTTTAAAGTATGGAAAGACAAAATTAAACTGCAGAATAGGTCTTTCTTCTCTTTCATCTGTTTATAAGTATATTGGATAACTTTAAAATTGATATATTGCACCGTAAGATCAATTTATATGATAGATGCATGTCACTTCACAATAACTCCTTCTTATACCAATGGCGTGATCACGTTCATCAGTTATTGTTGCAAAACGTCGTTGAATGAAATGCTACTAAGTATTGTAACAGCTAAGGATTATGAGGGGACAATACTGCCTCCCTGACAAGCTATCTTTTCCCGTGATGCGGTATAACCCGGGGACCCGCTCACTAGTTCAGCAACGTCGAGCGTGGTCAGTAGTTGGATGGGTGACCGCCCGCACGTTGCAGTATATTGACATTTCGACTGCAATTATAACTAAAAGAAATTGGGTTCATATGGCATTGAATGCAGTTTAAAAGCGTAATTTTGAAGCATCTTCTCTCGCCTCAAATAACGTGAGAAGCCCATTAGAAGCAAATAATTTGTAGACGTTAGGCTGTTCCAGAAATCTTGTCTGCACTGACGACACAGACATTCAGTATCAAAAATATAAGGGAATGCCTATATTTAGACCAATAATAACTATACAATTTAGAATGTAAATATATTTATTTAAAAGTATATTTCAATGTTTATGCCAGTATGAATATTTCGTCCTCATTCGGTTGAATATTTAAAATGTACATCTGCAGCATTGCTACTCATTATGGCAATTTCATGGCTATCGAAAAAAAACCATATCATATAATATATTTATTATTTTATTGTGCAATCTGCTTCACATCTAATAAGTGATTTTTACCTTTTATGATTAAACTCCGGAAATAAACAAAGACAAACTTCATCTTATTTGATATGCAAACTAAATGTTAAGAGTTGTGCCCCTTTTATAAAGTGGTTTAATCAGTATTTCTTTAGATAGGTAATGCTAAAAAAAGCTTTTTCCGCAGATAAATGTGATAAATGGAAAGCCAAGCTGGGATTAGCCGGTGATGTTTTGCCCGTACTTTTGGAAACAGACACATGAAATCAGGAACTGTGTGGTGTGCAGTGTCGCAAACAAGCTAACTGTGATAATTTCCTATTTGACGTCACATCCGCCCGTTGCAGATTGCTGAAATCGACACCAGATAGGTCAAATGACGCTGTCAACCTGGATGGAGTGTGGTATTTCGTGAAAACATTGGTGTGACGAAGTCCTGCCTAAGACAGAGTTATGCGGCCATGAATTGCTTGATAAATATGCGACCTTTGGGGGTCATAGGTCATTGCCAACCCCGACAAGTATTTTGATAAAGAAATAGTTTATGTTTATATTTACAAATGTGATGCAATCTGAAATATTACAATCTATAGAAGGATTAACCTGAATCTAGTCCAACTATCTGTCAATTTTTTAGAAATTAAAATCTGAGAGTATACGTACATTTAAATGAACATGACTGCATCTTCAATAAGCATGATGTTCGCAGCTTCGTTGACAATGATTAGATAATCATTTTGTAAAAATGTCTATCAGTAATTACACGATACTGGTTAGGTGATTCAAAACAATAATGCAACTTCTCTTTTCGGTTTGTTCAATTTAGGAGATTCAAATTCAACCTAATTTTGTGATCGCATTATTATTGGATAGTATGGGGCTAAATTTAATAACAAATTTGATGCGTGCTTTTTACATAACTAACGCGGCTCTCCGTTTCTGATTGGTCAATTTGTTTCCGTGCATTAACTCCCCTGAACATGTTTCGTTTTCAACCACACCCGGCGGGTATATGATGTTGGTGTCACGAAATGCCTTTGCGTTTGCCAGCCTCCAAAATGTATGTATATCAAGTATCTATCATTACAATTCAGTAGTTTTCCTCGCATGTTTGTTCAGCATTCGCATCACGCAATTCTGTGAATCGTATGTATACACAAAATCTCTGCAACGAACAACAGATATAATATATCCTGCACATTCCACAACTTTGCTCACATTTTCATTTGTGCACTGTTTCATAACATGGTATCAAATCTCTATAAGATGTATCTTTGTGTGTGCAAATTGAGTATATGTATAATGATAATGGTGTGTGTGTAAAATAATATTTTTTTCGCTGCCGTTATCCATAATGATGACCATTATGTTGTCGTGTTGATGCTGCTGTTGCTGATGCTGAGGAGGAAGATGATGATGATGAGGAGGAGGAGGAGGAGGGGAGGAGGAGGAGGAGGATGGAGCCGAATAAGGGAAAAGCCAGTTTACATACCAACGGTCTAAGGTTTGAAACATTAGGGTAATCGCCCACCAAAGTGGAACATTCACTCACGAGGTTTAATTTAGGAGAGTTGTTGATGATGATTGCAAAGAGGAAAGCTCACATTTGTATATTCTATGTGCATCTGCCATTCACGTTTATTGACGATTTAAAATCTCTGAAAAATAAACAACTTCAAAAGAAATATAATAGTTTGTTTTGAGTTTTACGTCAATGCAACAGCCTATGTCAAATTAAAACAATACCCATGGATGGTGATGCAACTCAAGGGCCAATGTTAGGCGCCATCACACCGAAAAGTCATAATCTGGACACTGTATCATGTAACTCTACCCGGTCACACTATATTGACCTCGGACTAGCGTGTCATTACTGCCTCTCACTCAAAGTTAAACGCAACACATAGAGATGTTACGAAATACTTGTTCAAAAGAGAGAAAAAAAAAAGATATTGCCAAGGAAGATGTTACGAAACAATTGTTCAGAAGAGAGAGAAAAATCAAAGTGTTGCAAGGTATTGAGAACTCAAATAAACAGATCAATTCACATAGAAAAATAGTTTCATTTATATTTAGCAATGAGCATGTCTTGTAATATCTTGCTGATAGTCATGTAATTCATAACTGGCAATGGCAGATTTTAGGTGTTGATAGAGGAAGACTAGGTGTAAACGCCCCATAACATTGACTTTCGATGATTTGATAGAGATTTAAATGGTGCCAACACGATCTCCAAACTAGATCTCATCGCCAGGGAAATGGTCAAAAGAAAACAGCTGTTTCAAAAGCTCAAAAAGGAACTGACTAAAGACTCAGTATTGCCATACTTTGATCCGACAAAGTTGGCTAATTATGTGGTCGATGGAATCCCTGTTAGACGCCATATAATATCAGGAAACTAATTGCTTGCACAAGCAGAACACCGACAGATCCTGAACAACGATATTCACAATCATGAGTGAGAAAGTCATTATTCTATTGTGTGAATCTGTTAACACATTTTCATCTATTCTTCTTTGGCCGTACATTTATGTTTACCAATAATCTAAAACTGCTTGAACATATTTTCAACAATCCAAAATCCAAAAAGCACAAACGAAGTTCGAGAATTTAAACTTACAGGAAGATGCCAAGTGTAGCCTCAATGCATCAAATGCTAATATATATGAGTCTTACTTTACATATGGAATATTGTTGAACTTGTACTTGGGTCTGGCAATGTCAACACATCGACAGATTTTTAACAAGTTCTTACCCGGGTTCTTTACTCCATTCTGGGGTCGAACACGAAGCTAAATGGAAGCATTGCACATCTGTGTCCATACAATGGTATAGACAGGGCCGGAAAATGACTTTGCATTGTTTGTAATTTGTATGGTCTGACAATTTGCATGAAACAAAATATGCGTTTGCAAAACACTAATTGGGTTCGTGCACTTACATTTAACATTTTGATTTTATTTCAGCCGGATTTTTTTTGCGAGCATGTGTTTCATTTTTTTTTTATAACACAGTGAAATAATATATAAAGTTCTTCTACAATGTAAAACATGGCACCGAGCTCTTCAGAATGTAATAAAAATGTCTGATACTGTCTATCAATGTATATTGTACTATGTGTGTAATTTGTGTTGTCTGTGTATGCATGTATCTACATTACACATAATTCGCTCTGATAAGCGGCAACATGCCAATGCCTCTGAATAAGCTGTTGTGCAATATTTGCCAGCTCTCGCTCTTTGACCTTTGATCAATATTGTTTGTATATATCTGCATTGTACGTTATTCACACCGTATATTTCCCTGACTAAACAGCCGCACAATATAAGCTAGTTCACGCTCTTTGACCTTTGACCTTTGAGTATTGTGCTTCACTCGACAAACGTGTACACACTTAATGTGTGTAATATTTACCATAGCGATGCTTGACGGCCGGACTCTTACTTACATTGTGACTCAGATCATCTTAGTCCATCCTGAAGTAGCATGTGTGGTGGTCTGGTGCATTTAAATTAACATTTTNACCAATAATCTAAAACTGCTTGAACATATTTTCAACAATCCAAAATCCAAAAAGCACAAACGAAGTTCGAGAATTTAAACTTACAGGAAGATGCCAAGTGTAGCCTCAATGCATCAAATGCTAATATATATGAGTCTTACTTTACATATGGAATATTGTTGAACTTGTACTTGGGTCTGGCAATGTCAACACATCGACAGATTTTTAACAAGTTCTTACCCGGGTTCTTTACTCCATTCTGGGGTCGAACACGAAGCTAAATGGAAGCATTGCACATCTGTGTCCATACAATGGTATAGACAGGGCCGGAAAATGACTTTGCATTGTTTGTAATTTGTATGGTCTGACAATTTGCATGAAACAAAATATGCGTTTGCAAAACACTAATTGGGTTCGTGCACTTACATTTAACATTTTGATTTTATTTCAGCCGGATTTTTTTTGCGAGCATGTGTTTCATTTTTTTTTTTATAACACAGTGAAATAATATATAAAGTTCTTCTACAATGTAAAACATGGCACCGAGCTCTTCAGAATGTAATAAAAATGTCTAATACTGTCTATCAATGTATATTGTACTATGTGTGTAATTTGTGTTGTCTGTGTATGCATGTATCTACATTACACATAATTCGCTCTGATAAGCGGCAACATGCCAATGCCTCTGAATAAGCTGTTGTGCAATATTTGCCAGCTCTCGCTCTTTGACCTTTGATCAATATTGTTTGTATATATCTGCATTGTACGTTATTCACACCGTATATTTCCCTGACTAAACAGCCGCACAATATAAGCTAGTTCACGCTCTTTGACCTTTGACCTTTGAGTATTGTGCTTCACTCGACAAACGTGTACACACTTAATGTGTGTAATATTTACCATAGCGATGCTTGACGGCCGGACTCTTACTTACATTGTGACTCAGATCATCTTAGTCCATCCTGAAGTAGCATGTGTGGTGGTCTGGTGCATTTAAATTAACATTTTAAAGATGGATGGACCTTTACTTACGTTTTATATTTGAGATCCTCATTCGCTTGGAGTTTTTATTTTATTCCTGTGTATATATAACTCATGACTTAGTATCACTGGAACGTCAGGGTAATCGCCAACCAAAGTGGAACATTCACTCACGAGGTCTAATTTAGGAGAGTTGTTGATGATGATTGCAAAGAGGAAAGCTCACATTTGTATATTCTATGTGCATCTATCATTCACGTTTATTGACGATTTAAAATCTCTGAAAAATAAACAACTTCAAAAGAAAATAATAGTTTGTTTTGAGTTTTACGTCATTGCAACAGCCTATGGCAAATGACAGGGCAAACAATAAGTGATTTAAAACAGCAGTGACATAGCCAAACTTAATGTTTAACTAAAAAAACATTCATTGTGACAACTGGTAAAGTAGCCCACTATATTTGATATATAATAATTACTTTGTCATGCATGAGAAGACAATGCTCATCCGTTTCTTTCGATGAAGGAAGAAGAACAGAAGTCAACTTATCTGTTGTTTTCTTTCTTTTTAGTAAATGTCAAAAACATTGCGAGGTAAACTATTTTACTGTTTCTACACTGCGCATTAGTTACAAATATATACAAAAACAATATTCTACATTTTTGTCATGTTTTCAATATATTCAAAACCTATTTAAAGATTGAAGGCCAAGCACAATAGCTGTACCTGTAGTCACATTTACTTCTTTGGGTCATTGACTCTTATCCTTTAGAGCGTAACTTGTGTAACTTGTGTCGTATAAGCATTTGAACCGCCTCAATATTGCCACCGTTTGGGAAAAGTAGCAATACATCTCACTATTGTCCATTGCTAAGACAGGTTGTAATATCCCCTAACTATTGTCTATCGCTTTAATGAAGCACTTAGTGTATCAGCAACTCAATTCAATAATGTTCTGTCGGGACCTGTACAGAGCATAGAGATTGCAGTGTAAAAGGGTTTGAACACACATAATTTGAAGACAATGTATAATGTAGCAACATCTTATTAGCATTAAATATATCCAAAGTATTCTTGATATTTGCGAATGTAATATATGAAAAGATCATTGTTAAACTTTGCGAGGTAAGTTAAAAACGGGCTTGCATAAGACCAAATACGGTTTGTTAAGCATTATAAGTTATAATACGTATACACTACTATACCATGCACTGCCTATCATTGTGCTAAATGCATTATAAAAGCATCGGCACCTTTGTCATTATTCGTCTGGATAACGGAACTACTACTCGGAAGCGGACATAAAAACAGTTATACATTTTACAGTATTTTCATGTTATAGTCATGTTAAGTATTTAAGAAATATCATTGTTTTTGCTTTTGACGTAGCTGAGGGCCTTTTCACTTGAAAAATATGTGCACTTGTAACGATGTACGTATCGTTGCAATATACGATAACTCTTTAAATGAGCTTACTCTAAATGTTTGATTGTATGTATATATGTTTATAATGTTCATGATAATGGAGGAAATATTTTTTTTATCTATCTATTGCCTTAAATAGCAGTTTTTGGAGCAGTTAGGATCAGTGCCTCTCATACTAAAATCCCGGTAGAGCGACAGTTAATGTTACTAGGTTAAAGTGTTATTATCGCAATAACAACTACTTTGTCAACTTGACAAATCCCATTCGTCATTTGCCCAGCCTCGATGGCTCTTCGGGAACCCCATTTTCTTCCAATTTGAGATCCCCTGTGCGCTTCTGGGCCAACGACATGATAAATATTTGTTGATAACACCTGTTTTTCATTTTTTGTAGATTTATTTTTGTAGAATACATAAAGTTTACATTTATATACAACACATAATTGTCTATATTAACGGGTCGACCGTGATGAACATTACAAAAAGGCATGTTATTCTGTAAAATAAT